GAGAGTTTCTTTGAGAACTCAGATTTGTCTCACTATGGGAAACTCGACTTTAAAGGGCACAACTTGTGGGAAGTTCACACAGTAGTTTTGTTTAATACAGAGTTAATTTAAAAGTGTAGAAACAAACACATCGTTTGAATGTGTCATCATATCGTATTATTTGACTGAAGCTTTACTCATTCTTAAAATGCTCATACAGTTGGTTATGGTTTTGTATGCATGTTTTAATTAGGGGATGACTATGCTGAATGAGTATAAGCAATCCAAATTTTCTCACAAATCCACTTTCAAAAGTTGCGCTACTCTAATGTAACGACTTGAAAGTGAGGCAAAGCTAATTAAGGCTAATTAGGCTAATTTTCAAGCTTAGCGCAGGAGCCGTTATCATTTACCTTTAAGATCTTTTATGTTTCTTAGTTACAAGGAAATGTTAAGTTCATAAATCATATCAAAAAGGGACAATATTCCCTCTGCGGTAATTAGCATGTTATTTCGGCGGGCTAATTATAGCGCCTGACACTAATATGATTATTAGCGTGCACTATAACAGCGATGGCAAACGTTTGGTTTTTTATAGCATTAAGAAGGGATGTTTGATTGAATTTGAAAAAATATTCGACTCAAATCCATTTCGTAAACGGTTAAGACAATTACTCATCCCCTGACAAAACCAGATTAAAATCTCCCGGAAAGTACTTTTTCAAATATTTTCTTAGGGCCCTGGAGTGGTTTCTAAAACTCCGGCAAAGTTTGCAAGCCAAACAGAGGTTTTTTATCTTCGGGATCGTTAGGTGTGAAGGAGCGCCATGCCCACATAGTTTGTTATCGGATAATTGGATGTTCCCTACCAGCTGAATCTTTATTTTCTTCCAAATGTTAAACTGTCGATAAATCGGGAACACGTGTAACAATTTTGAATGATCTGTTCAAGTTTTCACATAAAAAAATGTTTTACGGAGTGAAGAAATATTATATATACTCAACCATACACCGCTAAATGTGTTTTACTGTTTCTTGTTAAATCGTGCCTGTAAGTTTTTCTGTTTCTTTCGTTTCAATTAAAAACTCTTTGTACAAAAATTATCTACACTTTTAAAAGTCTTGTTTAGCATTGTAGAAATAATTTAATTAAATTTGATACCAGTTTCACAATATTGTTCCATTTTGAGAAAAGTAAACTGTCTCAAGCAATCAAATAACTCGTCATTCCAATTAAGCTCTTTATTAATAACTCCAGACGTTTCATTTATATGAAATAAATTCGTTTTTCGGGCGCAATTGTTTGCTAGCGAATGCGAAATTTATTCAGAGGAAGCTTTAGTTCAGATGGAACGACAAACGAAATGTGAAATGTATAATTGCTTTATTTACTCTGTTTCGATGCTTACAGAGTGAACCAAAACATGATTTTTAATCAGAAGTGTATCTGGTACAAGATTTCAGGTTTGACAAAAAACGGTAGGCATTTTGCAAATGTCGCAATACACATTAGAAAATTTCGAAAAATTTTGTATAATTTTAAGGAATTAACACTAAAGCTTAATTTGATTGTATTTTTTAAATGGCTCAGTATTTTATCGCTTGTTTTAGTGCCATTTTTTTGAAGCTATGGAAAATTATAATAGATAAATTTATATACGAAATGTACGTTTTGAAACAAATGACAAATTATTAGACCAGAATGTTGTTATAATGAATAATGGATTATCTCTAACAATTTATTGAAATGATTTACCGCTAATTAGCCATAAATATACAATTTACCTTGTGAACCAAACACATGATTTGAATTAAAATAGTGATCAATTAAATGGCGTTTTACCATTTTCCAATACAGAAACCTCTAGTTTTGAAACATTGGGCTTTTTTTGGTTATTTCACGAAAAGTATGAGTTGGTAAAATAATGAGCAAACTGGGTTGTCAATATACAAAGGGTCAATATACAATACTTTTTATACATGCAGGTATAACATTTACATATTTCAAAATAGAGGTAGTTTTCAGCTCATTTTAAACTGGAATTTACTAGATATTATTGAACACACATAGTTCTGGTACTATTGTTTCCAAAAATTGTTAATATGGTTTTTATTTCGGTGTTCCAATTTTTAAATTGAAATACCAACAATTACCTATATTATAAAGTAAAAAAAAATGATTTTGTTAGATTTAGACCCTGCTGAAGTTGACATTGATAATTACTTTTTTTGTTAAAATAAAAATTAAAAAAATTGCAATTTTCAGAATAAAACGAAAATTGAAAAATTGTTTCAATCATACATGTTATTAAGTAGGTACATCAGTTTAATTTTTTTAAATCATTCAACCGCCAATTTAATTACGAGATACAGATTTGTTAACAGTTATAGGCACATAAAAAATGTGTTAAAAACATAAAATTTGAATTATTTCTCAATTTAATGATAAAACTGTTTGCGTAGGTACCCCTTCTAGTTACCGTTCAAACTCAAATAGCTGAAAGCATAAGTTAGTAGACTTTGAAAATGGAAAATGTAGAGAATTTTTTTTATAAATTGCTGGAAAACCCATGTACATTTGTCCAATTTATTCTTGACTTACCAACTAAAAACAGAAATCGTTAAAGTGTCTCGACTTCTATCACTCAGTATTTGCAGATACCTAATTTAAAAAACATTAGTCTATGCGTGGTTTATTACCGCAAAGTCGTAGAATTTCCAAACGATGCTACAAAGCAAGATCTCTCTCTTAGCTCATATTTCAATATAAAAGTTTACTTTGAACTACTTATTTAATCTACTAAACTTTGCTAGAATGCATTTACAATTTAATTTAAGCGGCTAGCCGTTGCTGGATTTTACCAGGAAAGTATTAGTATGTTCCTCACTTATATCCCGCCACAGAGCTGTTTGCTAAGTATTCAGCAAGTTGGGGGAACATGTAGATAAAGATAAAGTTTCTTATCATGATATTGTGATATTCCTGGCCGCAAGCCACAACACCTAAATAATAGCGTCTAATTAGTGTCTCAAATGCCATTCAAATATCTTACAAAACACTTTTCCGTTGACTACTAAATTGTTTCACATCCAGGCATGTGACATATTTTAAATCAACCCCATTAGCATCAAGGTATATTGCAGACTTGACACAATATTTAGGAGATACGAAATGCACGACACGTGAAAAGGTGACGGGAGAAGATATATTAGCAAAGTGCTATCATATTAAAATCCTAATATTGCTCCATTGTGCACCGCACCACACTGTGCACTGTTCTGCTTAAGTTGCCATAACAAATGGCTAATGGGGCAAAGAGCTTCGTGCTTACGCAATTTTTTTATTGTTTCTAGTCAAAATTGAAGATTTATGCACATGGCTTAAAAGGCATTAATAAAAAATGGGGCTTGGTTAAGGATAATGATGAAGTTCAATTGTTGATTTGGAACCAAAATGCAAATTATACTTTTGGGGCAGTTTGCTTTCGTAAAAAACATCGTTTATAATATAATTTAACATACATGTAAGGTTGGTAAGATATTATTCCTTCTTTGCAACAAGAAATAAGTACGACAAATAAATTTATTTTTAAACAGCTCATCAAATGTGATATAAGTCTCACAATAGACAATACAGGGTTATCCATTTTATGCTTGGGAAAGTAAAGTAAAAAAAACACACAAAATATTCAGATGGAGACGAAAATTTTAAGTCAATATAAAGATTAAACCTAGCCATGATACGTGAAAAACAATATCATTTAAATGTCCTCCACGGGATCTCCTACAGACCTCAATTCTTTTGAGGTGAATTTTGAATGACTTTTCGGCACATTACCGGTAATATCTCGGTCATAACTTCACGGGTATTGGCTTTTAGTTGCTCAAGAGTTTGAGGATCGTTCGCGTAAACACGATCTTTCGCATAGCCCCACAAAAGGAAATCTAGCGGCGTTAAGTCGGATGATATTGCGGGCCAACTGACATCATTCAATCTCGAAATTACGCGTCCTGGAAATTTCTCTTGCAATACGGCTCTAACTGCCGGTGTTGTGTGACTCGTTGCCCCATCCTGCTGGAACCACATGGCTTCCAGATGATAATCTTCAATTTCTCTCCAAAAATAATCGGTAAACATGTGTCCATAGCGCTCAGAATTGACTGTTATGGCTCTTCCTTGATCGTTTTCAAAAAAATACGGGCCAATAACACCACATAATGCACACCACACGGTCACTTTTTCACGGTGCAAAGGCCTTTCTGATCACCTGAGGATTTTGGGAGCCCCATATATGGCTGTTCCGCTTATTCACGTACCCACCGAGCGAAAAATAAGCCTCATCGCTGAAGAAAATTCGGTTCGCAAAATCATCAACGGCTTGTTGTTCAATCATCCAATTTGCGTATGTTCTGCGCTGCTCATTGTCTTGAAGCTTAAGTGCTTGAGTCAGTTGGACTTTGTAGGGATGGAGCTTCAAATTCAATTGCAAAATTCGCCACAATGAGCCGTAAGACAGGCCCAAATGTTGAGCACGTCGGGGAATCGTCGAATACGGTTCTTCCTCCACACTTTGAGCAGCAAGAGCGATATTTTCAGCTGAGCGAATTTTGCGATGATGCACAACCCTTACAATATCAGTAACCGATCCAGTCTCTTCAAATTTTTCCACTGTGTTCGAAATTGTTTGCTCTGTGGGTCGATGATGTCGACCGTAATCTGCGTAAACGTTGATAAACCAGAATCACCATTTTTATTTTAACATTTATCCATATTCCAAAATGGCAAACCATCAACTAAAACAAAAACGCTTCGGATGACGTTTACCTTTAACAGATATCAAATAGCAAGGTTTTACTGTCCCAACGTCGAATTGGATAACCCGTTATATGTAACTTAATTTAAAACAAAGTCAAAAAAATGAATTCAATCGAGATAAATATGAAGACAAAGTTACGAGAGAGAGTCTTTACCCATGCTGAATTAAAAATCAGCTGGATGAATATTTTCGGTATTGTTGCAGGATGTCACGCAAACTCACCGCCAAGCTTCGTCAAAGACATGAACAATATTGTAATCTCCGAAAGCACACCAGTTGGGACCGAAATATACAAGCTAGAAGGAATAGATCCAGAAGGTAGCACTCTTCGCTATGATATTTTCGGTACCGATGTTTTGAGTGTGGACCACGACACTGGAGTTGTAACAATAGTTAAACCACTGGACTACGAGGTAAAATCTTGAGAAAAATCGCAAAAACGCCAATAAAACTTGCAAGTGCTGATATTAATAAAAGTAATATTCTACTGCAACACGTAATTGTATAAATTGTATACTGTAAATTGCGAGAACCTGACAATATCGTTCCGATCTATGTTCTACCAAGAAACCACTATTTACTGACTTTCTTTACTGATTTCCAGACAAATTCCACCCTACATTTAGTGGTGAGCCTGGAAGACGAAGTGAATGGCACAGGAAAAAACAACGTAGTCGAACAGGGCATAACAGTGATTATTTTAGATGAAAATGATAACCCGCCTGAATTTCAAAACGTAAGGTTAACACAAAAATTCATATTAACACTGCTGTTTTACCACATCTCAAAAAACATAAAAAGCATGTTCAATTTCATTGACCATGTTGTTGAAAACCAGTGAACCGATCACTGCGATTATTCTATAAAACGAAATTAATCGAACAACATTGTTTACCAATTAGCCAACTAAACAAATTAGTCTGCCAATTACTAATTGCAAATAGTTTCCTGATTTTGTTGCTAATTGCAGCTTCCTTACCATGCGACTATGGATGAAGATGCAGCCATAGGAGCCACTCTATTAGATATCATCTACGTAACTGATAATGATACGGCGGGTGAAAACATTGAAGTGACTTGCATCAATACATTAGAATCAGTGGATGCTTGTGATATTTTTGTAATTGAAGAATTAACTTCGGGAGTGAATTCCTATAGAGGCGTTCTAGTGCTAGCGAGAAAACTGAACTATACCAGCCGGCAAGAGTACAAATTTTCTTTAAAAGCAACAGTAAGCTATTTGATGTTCGAAAAAACATCGCAAGAGGTTTTTTATTACAAAAATGCGTTTTCAACAGGATGGCACATTGACAAGTACAGCGGACGTTAGTGTCGTTGTCCGGGACGTTCAGGACACTCCGCCTAGGTTTCTAAGCAATCTTACAGCTCAACTTCCTGAAGACGTTCCGATTAATACTCTAGTTTTTATCGCTAAGGCTGAAGATGGTGATAGAGGAAATCCTCGCCCCGTTGTTTATGAACTTGTTAATAGTAAGTAATCAGCCATATGAAATAGAGCAAAAAGTCAAAAGATAGAAAAGAAAGGAAAAATCAAACTCATTTAATTTCAGAACCATAAGTGTTAAAATGTAAAAGAACACTGCATGTGCACTTTACACAGATGATGAAATTTCACACAATTAATTCATGGATTTCTTCTAGCATAACGTTGTAATTTTCCACTTGGTTGGTGCTTTTATTTATAAAGGATATTTATTAGTTGTTCACTCATGTATTAGATTCACACCATTAGCCTAACATTACCATATTTGCAATGTGGACGATAAGCAAATGTTTCTCAGGCCTTCAACTAGCTGCAAAACTTCAATACCGATTCATAATTAAACACGTTGCGAATTATTGTCTATGGAGGCCTACATTACATGGGTAAAAATGAATAATTTTGTAGATCCCATGGACTATTTCCTGATAGATCCCGTGTCAGGCGATCTCTACACAGCAAAACCGCTGGATAAAGAAGCAATAGAAGATCCTGATGGTATTCTTCAGTTTGAAGTGCGAGCCCACGAATTAGTGAATGGTTTAAGGGCAGATGATCCATCTACATTCAGCACGGCGCTGGCCGCAGTGAAAATTTTGGACGTCAACGATGAACCGCCTCGATTTAATAAGCGAGAATATTTTGTGGAAATTCCGGAAAATATTCCTGAAGGGTCTGCCTTGCCACATCTGGACATGACAGTATCGGATCCGGACGAGGTGAGTTGAGAGATGTTATATTATTCAAGGAAAAATATGTGTTCAAAAAATGTATACGCGTTTTCTTGAGCCGTTTGAAACGCCATTTCTGCATGCAGGTGGAGAAGCTTTTTTAGTGTATTTAACATTTTTTATGGGGATGTTCTATAGAATTCGAATATCGAATTTATTGAAAAATGCTTCCGAACAATTAACAGAGTAACAAACACTATTTGCTGCAAGCTAAATAAACACAGTATCAAAAAGGTACATAAATGTACAGAGTTATTGATTGAACTTTGGCCACCCTGTTTTAGCATCTAATTTGAAATTTAGAGAAAAATGTTAAATACAAAACTTGTAGATATTAACGTCTAGATTATTTTAAGATAATACCAATTGATACAGGGTGTTTCAAATTCAAGTGGCAGACCAAACTTAGCTTTTTTTAAAAATGGAATGCCGTACTTTTTATTGCATATTCGAACTATTCACACAAAATCATTATAGAACATGTATATCGAATAGGCCTAGAACTGTGCGAACAGTTCGAATATGTAATACAAAGTGCGGCATTCAATTTAAAAAGAGGTAAGTTTGCTCTGCCACTTAAATTTGAGACACCTTGTATCAATTGGTATTGTCTTAAAATAAACTAGCCGTTAATATCTACAACTTTTAAATTTAACATTTTTCTTTAAATTTCAGATTAGGTGCAAAAACGGGGTGGCCAAAGTTCAATCAATAACCCTGTACACATGTTTCCGATAATCTTATAAAAAACTTCATATTTATTTTAATCCATAAATTAATGTGCAAATAAATTTGCAATATAGAAGAAATTTTAGAATAAATGCAATGAGATAAATTAACAATTCGCGTAAAATGCCTGGAGCAGTAATTATCGTATTGTCATGTTTCTATTATTATTGTTTAATGTCTAGGACATTGTTTGTTAATAACATTTGACAAACATCCTTCAGCTAAAATTATGGGATGTTGATATTCCTTGCATTATCTTGTAATTAATATTGGCCGAAAATCTGGAATTATGTTTGGTAAATTCCAGACAGTTGACTATTTTCTTCTGTAGCCTAAAATCGATAACTCCTAATGTTCTTTTAATTTGAAAAAACATTTTGAAACAGTGTAGAGAAAAAATATAATGGCCAATATTGTGATTTAAATTGTCTACAAAAGTTGCAAAATTGTTTTTAGGGCAATAATTCCGCATTCTCTCTGGAGCTGAACGATATTTCCGGTGCTTTTTCTATCGAACCGAATACGGCTGTGGGTTCAACGCCAGTTACTATAAGGGTCGCTCATAATAATCTGGATTACGAGGATCCAAACCAACGAAAATTTATTATTCTGGCTGTGGCCAAGGAGATTTATACTCAAAACAAGCTTTCATCAACGTCTACGATTACAGTTTCAGGTACGGCTTTCAATATTTAACCGAAGAGGAATTAAGAGCATTGCTGTTTAAACTTTAGATCGAGCAATTGGTTTAAATTCTTAACTTTTTTGCATTAATTATCTCGTTTTTCAGTCATTGATGTTAATGATAACGCACCAACATTTGATCAGGATAATTATTCGGCTGTTGTATCAGAAGTTGCGTCTCCTGGTACTTTAATAATCACAGTAGTAGCCAAAGACAGAGATACTGGTAAATTTGGAGAAAATGGCCTAATCTACAAGTTAACAGGAAGCGGAGCAGAGCTTTTCCACGTAAACAACAGAACAGGAACGGTAACAGTTGCAGCTTGTGATAGTTTGGGTATCGCCCCCTGTTTAGACTATGAATCTAAGCCCGAGTACCATCTACAATTTATGGTAAGAAAAAAAACATTATGGATATTTTTTGGATTATTTAACAACAATATCTGCCATTTCCTCAATTGTGAAACTAAATTAATTTTCACGAAAAATCCTTCCCGATTGGAGTTAAACGTTATTCGGTTATTACCAATAATTCTCATCAACCAACAAGTTTTTATCCAGTGGCTTAATTACCGACCTTTTGCTTCTTCTAAAGAGAAAAGGAAAACATGCAAACCATTTATTTCATTCTAGGCCGTTGATGATGATGGAAGAGGCCAAACTACGGCAGTACCACTTAAAATAAGTCTGACCGATAGCAACGACAATCCGCCAAAGTTTGGCCAATCCACTTACCGAATCTTTGTAAATGAAGGAGCCACTCGGTTTGAACCGCAACAGATTATCGAAGCTCATGATGAAGATAAAACATCCCAAGTAGTTTATGCAATTGTGGCTGGAAATGATGATGAACTGTTTAAGATCGATTCCGAGACGGGTAGACTGAGAATAGCTGGAAGTAAAGGACTGGACGTTAGCAATGAAACGGATAATATTATAACGCTAACGATATTGGTGAGTCTAGAACCTTCTAGGAAAGCTGCTTTTGGGCATCATTTTCAAGACGTTCAGTTTCTTGACTGATATCGAATAATTGCAAGATGGTTGATTTTCTTGGGAATTCGGTCTGGGCAGTGGTGAAGAAAAAGAAAACCTTTTTCAGCTACCAAGCTTTCGGAAATTTATTGTCGCCTTCCTCAGGGTGCTAATTGTTTGACTATAAGAAGGCCAGGAACCCTCCAGAATATTCTATCATTTTTTGTACAGCTTGATGAAATATTTAATATTTTAGTTACATTGTTTGGTCATAAAAATCAACCATCTTGCAATCATTATCAAGGTTCGGTATTTAAAGCAGCTTAATTTGATTTTTTTCTCGGATTTCAGGCAACAGACAGCGAATTTACCGCCACAACCACAGTTAACATTACAGTACTTGACGTTAATAACAATTCTCCAATTTTTCTAAAAGAAACTTATTTAGAGGCAGTGCTAGAAGACGTTCCAATTGGTGAGTGAAACTTCCATATGACTTAATCAAGAATGTATTCTTTCACACGTTTTAAAATTATCAAAATTTTGGACGTGCTTTTTAGGTACAAAAGTAGTGGAAGTTAAAGCGACAGACGCCGATACGGGAGAAAATGCAGAAATCGAATACATCATTTCCAAAGGCACTAATGGTGACTTCGAAATCAACAAACTCACTGGATTAGTAACAGTGGCATCCAAGTTAGACTTTGATAGAAGGAACACCTACAATATGGAGGTTTTGGCGATTGATCATGGAGAGCCGGCCTTAACAGGCACCACAACCCTTACCGTTAAAGTGATCAACACCAATGATAAACTTCCAAATTTTGTGCCTGCGACTCAAAAAACTGAGGTAAAAACCATCCAAGTTGTTTCAATTCCTCGGACTACCAGCTAACACTTTAGGTGATGGAAGACGCTTCTATGGGAACAGTTATCCACACTTTAGTAGCTCTGGATCCAGATGTAAATTCCTCTGAGGCCCTAAACTTTGCAGCTACCGAGCCGATTACTGCTTTGGATAAACACGGAAATGAAGTGTCGGCCAGTGATGCTTTTAAGGAGTTTTTCTCCGTAGACAAAGATACTGGGAAAGTAATAGTTGCTAATCACTTACAGCGGGATTTGGCTGCCGTTATCCGAATTCCGGTTTTGGTTACGGATATTACGGCGCCTACTGTACAACAAGGGCAAGGCCTCTTAGGTACTTATCCAGATTTTGATGAATCGCAGCAGTTTCACGAATTTTCTTTAAATACTTTCCAGTTGTAACAATTCAGGATGTGAATGACTCTCCACCAAGTTTCGTTCCACCTTGGACTGTGGAAAATCCAGTTTACTTTCTGGAAATTAAAGAGGAACTGCCTGTGGGCACAATAGTGGGCAGTTATAAAGCGTTTGATGAAAATTCAGACATTGCTGGATATGCAATTTGGCCAGAAAGTGAATACTTCTCTATTAACCGAGGCATTGGAATTGTGCAAATTACTAAAACAATTGATTACGAACAAACAAAAGACCTCAATTTTACGGTGAGAAAGAGTTCTGAATATCGCACCTTGAACAACTTAAAGTTTGGTGTTTTCTCGTAGATCTGGGCCTATGATAGTGGCATTCCCCAACTGAACGTATCAGCTTTGGTTAAGGTGAAAGTGATCAATCTCAATGACCACGATCCGATTTTCACGAAAAAGTCTTACAATGTATCAATTGATGAAAATTCTCCGAATGACACGGTTCTCACACAAGTAAGGGCTGTGGATAAGGACGCAGGAGAGTACGGAGAAGTTGTTTATGCACTAACTGGAGAGCACAGCCAGAACTTCTACATAAACCCCAAAACCGGGGAAATTTCAGTCGCCAATTCCAACTTTTTGGATCATGAAAAAGTCGCCGAGTGTGTCCTACAAGTGGTTGGTAAGTGCATCCCAAATAAACATTTAAACTTGTGAAAAAATGTGAGTTTAATCTTTCAGCTAAGGACAGCGCTCCTGCAAATATAAGACGAACAATGTCAGTTCCCGTGTATATAACCATCAACGATCTAAACGACAACCCTCCCAAATTCACTGATCAGTTTTATGAAGCTGAAGTAATGGAAAATGTGCGATTGAATCCTCCCGTGCCGCTTATCCAACTAAATGCCACAGATTTGGATTCTGGTCTAAATGGAAACATCCATTACAGCATTGTTTCTGGAAATGACAATGGTTTGCTTGTTAATTGATTTTTTTTCAGATTTTACTACATTATCTGAATTTTAGATGTGTTTCTTATCGGGCTAGACACTGGCATTCTTTACGCCCATAAATCACTTCAAGGTTTAACCAAAACATTTAACCTGACGCTGGAAGCTAGAGATGGAGCTGGTAATGGAGAGCTTTACGATAGGGCAACCGTAAAAGTACACGTAATTAATGTGAATGATCATAAGCCCATTTTTGTGATGCCTTATCTGCCTAATTCCACCGTCGAGGTTCTTGAGGTAAGAACATTAGAAGTATTAGATTAGTATTAGAAGATCGCATAAATATCGAGGTTTATTTCAATTCTCTAGAATGCGGCTGCAAAAGATTTGATAGTGCTGATAGTCAAGGCAACTGATAAGGATCCAGGTGAAAATGGAAGAATCACATATCATTTGAAGGTGGGAGAACAAATTATGCAAGAAACCAATGACTTCGGCATAGATGAAAAGAACGGCGAATTGAAACTTAAAAGGGATCTGGATAGAGAGGAGAAGTCCAGCTATGAGGTAATCAATAGTTTGATTTTAAAGCCAGTTGGTGATAAAAACGAGTTTTGCCCATTTGCAGCTAACACTTGTGGCCAGAGATCATGGTTCTCCAAAATGGTTCCAGGAAGAAAGGCATTTGACAGTGTTGCTAGTGGATGAGAATGATAATCGTCCAGAATTTCCGGGAACAGTAGCAGCCAATCCCTATCACTTTTATGTAACAGAAAATAATGAGCCTGATACACTGATAGGTAACCGAAAAATTAAATTTTTGATTTTGTTTGTAATAATATGTTTGCAATCCTAGAGCAGCATACACTAAATCGTTTGCAACTAATCGAAACAATAAGGAATAAATCCGGAAAATACTCAAAATGCTAAAATTATACAAAAAATAATGAGTGGCAAAATGCTCCGTTTAAAATTGCAATTTATAAATAATTGTAACTTCTAGGTCATGTGCAAGCCTTAGATCGTGACGAAGGAAAGCATGCAGCCGTTTACTATTACATTCTAAGCGGCAATAAAAATAGCGAATTTAGACTGAATAAAATTGAAGGCAATCTCTACGCAACAAAATCCTTTGATCGAGAAACTAAGAATGAATATAATCTAGTAATAATTGCGAATAATGATCCAGACTTTTACACGTCCGAGGAAGAAGTAATTAAGATGAAAGATTTGGGTAAGGATTACATGGGAAAAATTCAATAAATACGTAAATTTACTGAATGATGTTTTAGGAATGCTTGAAGATAAAAGTGTTGCCCTTGTTGTGGTAACCGTTAAAGATTTAAATGATAATGAACCATATTTTCAAAATCCCGTTTATTATGCTGCCGTTAACGCTATGGCCAGCGTAAATCAGTTCGTTGTAAATGTGTCTGCGTTCGATCCGGATTATGGAGTTAATGGGTAAGAGTATAAAATGCGATTTTTTCACAGAAAGCCATTAGCCATTAAAGTCTAATTCTCCTATACAAATGCTATTTTTGAAAAGTGTTTTTTTTTCCGGTGAGGTTTGGGAAATGCTCTTTTA